CACCTTTATTTGTGCTGGTGTTCAACATAAGCTGGGTTGCACATTTGCATTTTATTGTTTTGTATTGTGTTTAATTTGTATTTTTCTATTTTTAATGGGGTTTTTTCTCGGTATTGTGTTTCATCATAGCGTTATATTTTAATATGTACAGCACTTTGGGCAGGGTTTACTGTGTATAAATGTGTTATTTAAAGAAACAGTCACCTTGACTTTGACCTTGAATCTGACTTACTGAAGGGAAACGGAACCAAATTCTGACACTAGTCATACAGCGATCGAACTGTCCATACTAGAGTGACTGATACCCCACACTCCTGGAGCACCCTACACAAGATGCTCGAGGGTACACGGTCAAATGCTTTCTCCAAGTCCACAAAGCACATGTAGACTAGTTGAGCGAACTCCCATGCACCCCGACCACCATCAAGTATCCTGCCGAGGGTGTAGAGATGGGCCACTGTCCCATGGCCAGGACAAAAATAACACTGCTCTTCCTGAATCTGAGATTCAACTTCTTCTCCAGCGCCTCTCAACGGACCTTACCAGTGAGGTTGAGGTGCGTGATTCCCCGAAAGGAACACCACCACCGGTCCCCCTTCTTTAAAAGGGAAACCACCACCCCCGATCTGCCAGTCCAGAGGCACTTCACCCATTGTCCATGTAATGTTGCAGAGGCGCGTCAACCAGCACATCGCCACAACATCCAGAGTCTTTTGAAACTCTGGGTGGGTCTCATCAGCCCCCGGGGCCTTGCCGTCAAGTAGCTTTTAAACCACCTTGGTGACCTTTTCTCCAGAGATAGGAAAAATAGACTCATAGACCTCAGTGAGTGGGAGTGAGGAAATCTTTGAAGTATTCATCTATCCATCCATGTTCTAATCCGCCTATCCTCACGAGGGTCACGGGTGTGCTGGATCCTATCACAGCTGTCTTCAGGCAGGAGGTGGGGTTTACCCTGAACTGGTTGACAGTCAATTGCAGGACACACATTGACGAACAACCATTTGTACTTACAATTACACATAATATAGAGTGTTTCATGACCCTGCCATGCATATTTTTGGAATGAAGGAGGAAAATGGAGTACCCAGAGAAAACCCATAGGGAGAACATGCTAACTCCACACAGAAGGCCGGAGCAAATCGAACTGTGAAGCGGAGTGCCAACCAGTCGACCAGCATGCCGCCTCTGAAGTAATCTCTCCACTGATTCACAACATTCCATGTTGAGGTCAAAGCACCCCATTCCCATTATATACAGCAGTGGTGAGGAACTCCGGTTCCTCGAGAGCCATATCTTGCCTGCTTTTGATCCCTCCCTACACCAATGGACCTGATTCTATGGATCAGATCATCAGCGAGCTCCGTCGAACCCTGAAACGATCATGATCAATTGAATCAGGTGTGTCTGATTAGGGAGAGCTCTAAAACTGGCAGGATATGGCTCTCAAGGAACCGGAGTTCTCTACCCCTGATCAAGAGTGTTGCGGTGCACTGCATCCCCTTTCTGAAACATCGGATGGTGGATCAGAATTTCTTCAAAGCCATCTGGAAGTTGTTCTGTATGGCCTCACCGAACTCCTCCCACACCCGAGTTTTTGCCTTGGTAACCGCCAACGCTGCATTCCGCTTGGTCAGCCGGTACCCAACAGATAACTCCAGAGTCCCACATGTCAAAAAGGCATCATAGGACTCCTTCAGCTTGACGGCATCCCCCACCGTTGGTATCCACCAACAGGCTCAGGGGTTGCCGCCATGATACAGCCACAGCTCTGGTGGGACACCTTAACAACAGAGGCACAGCACATGGTCTACTCAGACTCAATGTCCACCACCTCCTCTGCGAAATGGGCAAGTTTCTGCCAGAGATGAGAGTTGAAACTCTTTATGACAGAGGATTCTGCCAGACTTTTCCAGCAAACTCTCACAATGCGTTTGAGCCTGCCATCGGAGCCAACACCCCACCAGGTGGTAATCAGTTGACAGCTCCACTCCTCTCTTCACCTGAGTGTCCAAAACATCAACAAAATGGGCAAACCGTGACAAGCACAGAAGGCCAGTAACCGAACACCGCTTGGGTTTTGATCAAGGGGGGCTGTTCCTCCTAGTCACGCCCCCAATTCATCCCAGTCATGCCCGTTCAGGTCTCACCGTCATTGCCAACGTGAGCACTAAAGTCACCCAGCAAAATGATGGAGACCCCAGAAGGAGGACTCTTCAGCACTCTTTCCAAGGACTCCATAAATGGTGGGTCCTCTGAACTGCTGTTTGGTGCATGAGCACAAACAATAGTCAGAACCTATCCCTCATTTGAAGGCGAGGGGAGCCTACCCTCTCGTCCACCAAGATGAAACCCAATGTACAGCCACTAAGCCAGGGGACAGTAAATATTCCCACACCTGCTGTGCGTCATTCACTGTGGACCACTCTAGAGTGGAAAAGAGTCCAACCCCTCTTGAGAGGACTGGTACCAGAGCCCAAGCTATGTGTCAGGCGAATCTGACTCTATCTAGTCAGAATTTCTCTGCCTCGCATACCAGCTCAGGCTCTTTTTCTGCCAGAGGTGACATTCAAAAATGTCTGGTCTTGTGTTGGGATCTCATAGCCATATTAAAATAGTCCATAACTGGAATGATGAATCAAAGAATAAAAAAAGAGCATATTACCATTGTTAATTCTGTAAAAGGTAGGTACATAATCTGCCCCTCATTCTCTTCTTTTAGCTCTTTCGCAAAGAAGCCTCCAGATGTGACCAAGTCTCGTAAAATGAAGACAGAGCATCTCATCAAAGTAGATGATCATGACTTCACCATGAGGCCAGCATTTGGAGGTAAGTAACTGCCATTTGTGACTCTTTTTGCTTTCAGATTAGTTCATGCCTCTGTAAACAATTTGTATTATTTTGTTGAAAAAAAAAACACTAAGCTAAAAAAAAGCTTAGTGGTTTTATGTCAATAAAGTTTGCGAAAATAATACAGCATACATAGAACTTCAATGTCAAAATATTGCATTTCTGTAGAAAAAAATATACCACTATACTGTATAGCAGCCGGATGTCATTAATTGTAAATTGTATGCGCATAATCAGTAGTTCTGACATGCAGCAGGGCAATACTCACTTGTGCTTTCTGATACACAATGGCACTTACCTAATTTGCTCTTGTACTTTAAAAGGGTGCTGTACAACTTTTCCCACACTCCACTGCCCATTTTAACACCAGGGTAGTGGGGAGGCTTCCAGATGTGGATCCCTGTTTTTTTTTTCTCAACCTACCAAGAGTCTTCAGATGAAAACTAGCCTATTACTCTAATCCGTCATAGAATGGAGGCAAATGTTGATTAAAATGCACAGTCTCGTTTTAATTGAAATAAATCAATCAGTAAATAAAAATCTACCCATCTATCCGTATCTTTCCACTTAACTGTGAGATTGTGGGGACAGTATTGTAGCAAAACCATTTACAAATGCGTATTTCAAACCATAAATATGTCAAACGAATCGGTGTCCTAACCGCAGTCACAAACGTGTAACAAAAATCCACAAATGCGTGACTGAAGTCAAAAATGTAAAAGGAGAATCTACAAATTGTGACTCAAGTCACAAATATGGAATGAAAATGTACCAATTTGTGAGTGAGGTCACAAATGTCGAATATAAATTTTCAAATGTGTACACTGATTTGTATTTGTGAATGGTTTGAATAAAAAAATGTCCTCAAAGGGCAATAGCTTCAGCAGGGAAACCCAGACTTCCATCTTATCAGCCACTTCAACCAGCTCTTCCAGGGTGATCACAAAGTATTCCCATTAGCTCTGGCATGACTCAACTCAACTCAACTGTATTTATAGAGCACTTTACAACAACCACCGTTGGATACAAAGTGCTGTACATGGAGCAAATATCATATCTACAATAAACAATGAAACAATAAATTATGAACAAAGACAGTAGAAAGCACAAAAACAGTAAAACTAAAATCAAGTCTGAGTCATGCGGAGTCAAAAGCCAAAGAACACAAATGAGTTTTGAGACAGGTTTTAAAGATGGGCGGGGGAGGGGGCTTCCTGAATGATCAGTGGGAGGTCATTCCAAAGAGAGGGACTAGCAACGAAAAAGGCTCGATCCCCTCTGAGCCTCCACTTATTTCTTGGTACCTCTAATAATGTCTGGTGTATAGGTGCGGAGGAGCTCAGGGACGTAAGGTGAAGTGAGGCCATTTAAAGATTTGAAAACAAATAATAGCATGAGGCCGATTTGATACTTTCTTGATACACAGTTTGCTCTTTCCACCACCCTGGCATGCCAATGTAGAGGCACTTTCCTTGATGTGCTTGCAATGATGCAGAAGATTGTGAACCAGGACATCCATGCAACATGCAGAGCCTTTAGGAAATCTGGGCGAATTCCATATACCCATGGGGCCCTGCCATAGAGGAGTTTTTTTTAACCACCTCAAAGACTTGAACCCCACCTCTGAGTCCATCGACTCTCCTTCACCATGGGAAAGCATGTTGGTGGACCAGCTGATCAACTGGTTGGCACCCGCCTCATAGTGCAGAAGTGAAGCCTTAAAAATATACTATAGATTTATAAAGACATTATCGGAACGGCTTATCCTCATGAGGGTCGTGGGCATGCTGAAGCCTATCTCTTATCTCTGACAGTATGTGTCACACAATACCAGCCCAATGGCCAGTTGTCTTGCAAAGAGAGCACTGCAAGTCCTAGAACAAGAACCAGTAGTCATAACGATGGCAGATATCCAAGTAAGAGTGTTTTAGATGAACTGCTGGATAGCACCATGACCAAACATGATTCATTCCTACTGGCTGAAGAAGTTAAGGGCTATTGATTAACACCTGGCAGTGTTGTGTCTGAGGATGTCAGTAGACGACTTGTTTTGTCAACGGTCTTTATTTCAACTGCCCTAACAGGTGTACACATTCACTCAACTGCTGCTCTGTGACTCTGCTGTAACATTGTGTAGCAGTATGGTATACACCTATATGCTACAAGCAGCACATATGAACCAGCTGCCAGCATCAAGGACTCACCCCCAATGACGAACGCAAGGTTAGACAGTCCTCATTATGAAGGATCCGCAGAAGGGAGCGACTCCATCAAATCATACCTACCGAAACCTGCCTCAGCACCACATTTAAGCTCCTATCAGACATCATAGCAGCCAAAATACATGAGCAGAGGAAAAGGTAACAACACCAGGAGTGCCAAACACCAACTACTTTTTCATAGCTCACTCACCCAATACAGTACTGAAAAAGTAGAAGTGGTAATCTGTCCATTGTCTGGAGTGACTCAAGAAAGCCTATGACCTGCTTAGCAAATGCCTCAGGCAACAGAAGTTAGAAGGAGCCAGATGGACTGTCATGGAAAGACAAGCCCCTTCATGGCATGTACCACTTACAAATTGAAGAAGTGGCTGTAATCAAGAAACAACAGTGGCTGAAAAAGGCTGGACTGAGAGAAAGCATGGATGTGCTAATTAGGGCAGCACAAGAACAGTTCCTAAATGTAAGATCAATAGAGGCCAAGTCTACTACATCAGACAGGACTCCAGGTGAAGGCTGTGCAAGGAAGGCTTAGAGACAGTGCAGCATATCACAGCAGGGCATAAGATTCTGCCAGGCAGGCATACACGCAGTGGCATAACCAGGTAGTAGGAACAAATGTACTAAATATGGACTAGACTTACTTTAATTTATCAAGATGGCAGACACTACCAAATGTGGTTGAGAACAACCAGGCCAAGATCCTGTGGGTCTTGCAGATCCAGACTGGCATACTGATGATAACGCCCGGCATAGTGGTGGTGAGTAAACATCAGAAGACAGCAGTTGTGATAGAAGTAGAAGAAGAACTATATGTAATCTGGAGAGTAAAGGCAACATTGGTGCCACCAGTGATCGGGGCACTGCTGGGGGCAATTACCATCAAGCTGGGTAAATGGCTCCAGCAGATACCCGGAGCAACATCTGACATCCGTGCAGAAGAGTGCAATAGAGGGAACAGTTAAGATATTGCGCAAAACCCTCAAGCTCCCAGGCCTCCGGTAGAGGACCCCAGCTTGAAGGAGATATCTCCCACTTGGCGAGAAAATTACTTGCTAAATAGACACACAATCTTCAAGACTGCACCGTAGTTGGCAGCTCTGCTTTTTTGTTGTTGTTTTTTTTTGTCATTTATTTTTTGATATGATGTTTGTTGTCTTTCATGTGGACCCTTTGTGGACTGTTCTCAGCATTTTGGCCGTGACATTTGTCAAAGGAGAGGGGTCTGTGCCTGATGGTTGATGGTTGCGCCTTCTCAGCAGCATGTGTGTACCAGCACTGATTTTGATGGGGGGAATGTCAGCGTTATTTGATTGTCGCTGCTTTACAGCCGGAGGGCGCGTGTGTTTTTTTTTGCACCTGTGGTGGGCATCATTTTTCACATCCCCATTTTGTTGCAGCAAAGATGTCGCTGCTGTTGGATAGTCTGCATTGGTGTGGCTGGATGGATGGCTGGTGGAGCTGAGGATGAGGAGAGAGGAGTGTTGGTGTGAAGGGCAGATATGCATTTGGAACTGAGATTCAGCACTTCGAATTGAAGCGAATCTGAATAAGACAGGAGAAATAAACCAAACTCCGTATTCATCAATGGATGCTACAGCTTCTTGCTTACTTTCAAACTTAGCTTGTAGCAGTGTGTGACGGCATGCATGCTGTAAGCATGACGTTTCTGAGACTTTGATTCTCTGCTCTTTCATCTATAACTGCTTCGAACAACAAGGCATATGCTGGAATAGATGTCACGATTAAATTATTGTTTTATGCAATGTTCTTTTGCATTGTTTTTGTTATGTAGTGTTAAATGTTCTGGAAAGCACTTTGTTATAGCTGCAGCTGGTGGTAAAGCGCTAATAAAGATGTGTTGTATCAACACAAATAATTTTATGTGGAATAAAAACATTGTGGATCAAATAGACATTGACAAGAAGATTAGGAATGAATAATACTCTTGTAGATTTCTTACTGTTCAAGAGTAACTTTGGCCATTAGAATTCAAATTTAAAGGCTAAATCTGGAATATTGCTAAACCATCACATTTCAGAAAAGGACACAAAATCTCTTCTGTAGTAAACAAAATATGGCATTACTCTTACCACACACATCAAGCTGATGGGCTTTTCCGCTCTTCCTTCAATGCAGATTAACAACAACCTTAATATGTTATTCTATTGAGGATTAAAAGCAATAACACATACCACATGTCAGTCTCTCTCTCTCTCTCTCTCTCTCTCTCTCTCTCTCTCTCTCTCTCTCTCTCCCTAAATGTGTGTGTGTGTGTGTGTGTGTGTGTGTGTGTGTGTGTGTGTGTGTGTGTGTGTGTATGTATGTATATATATATATATGTGTGTGTGTGGGTATGTGTGTGGAGGCACGGTGGTCACTGGTTAAAGGTGGGAGGTCTTGGCCGTCAAACCAAGATGGGCGGTGGTTGGCGGTCTTGCAGTGCTGGAACAGAGGTGTGATTTGAATGCCACTGGAAGAGATAGCCGGTGTGGTTCCCATTGCTGAGCCAGAATGTTACACTTGGCTGGAGCAAGAACTCTGGCTTTGATATGATTCTTTTGTTTGTTTTGTTTGGTGAATCTTACAAGGTTGTGCTGCTTGGATGTGGTTCAAGGGTTGATGAGCCGCTGGAGCCTGGTGCTGTCGCGAACGAGCTGGACAGACTAACAAATTGATTGAAATGCTTTTCCACGAGCCATAGATGGACTCCCTAAAATCAACATCAGCAAAAACAGACAACACAATACAGTACAAAACACAACAAATATTACAGATTTATACAATATACATTAGGTGGTGATGTGGTGCTCACTGACACGAGAGAAGAGATGTGGACATAGGCTGCACAGGAGGACAATGGCCACCACTACTTGGAAGCCTCCTTGGAAGCCGACGTGTTGTTCCCCTGGTTATGGTCAAACAAGTACCTGAGTATAGCTGAGAGAGGAAATGAGGTGAGGACAAACTAAACCATGAAAAATAAATAAGTGAGAGAAAGGTGGAGGGGACAGAAAGTGAAGAACACAATTTAAGACAAGATAAGATAAGAAAACTTTTATTTGTCTCACAATGGAGAAATCTGCAGATATTTGGGAAATCATTCAGAATTTTACATCTTCAAAAAATATGTATCCCAGAAAAGAACGGTGAGCAATGTGGCACAGCAAACAAGTAACTAAAGCACAGGACAATCCAGGGGGAAGCAGAAACACAAGGAGACGTGGAACAAAGGTATGCTGAGGAAAGGGAAAATGACCTTCAGTCTGGCACACATAAAAAAAAAATAACATCCAAATTTGGGTTCCATCACTGACATACAAATGGAATTTTATTGTAAATCTATAATCTATTCAATCAGTATTAAATTGACTGCATATGATTTTGATGACAAAAAGTAGGAACTGTCTACTCTAACGAGTTCAGAGAAAGATTTATGGGAGATTTGCACTGTGGCTTTTGCAAATTTGAAATGGAAGAATTGTATTGCTATCCTAGCTCTGTTGCCATGCTCAAACTAACACTCATCGGAGAAGAGCTTTCATGTCATCTGCTTTATCCCTGAGCACCAACGTGTCATGCAATGTAATCTCTTTGGGGATATGAGCTTGTCACACTGTCGTAACAATGAGGACCAGTTTTCCCTCACACTTAACAACCTAAGACCATCAAATATTTAGATTCAAAACACAGTGGAGCTTTGGCTATTAGCTGCATTGAATGGTGTGATTTAGGTGACTTGAAATATAACTCTTACGGCACATAGCAATGTGGCAAACTCCCACGGCAGCAATGATGAGCAGATTAAACTGGCAGCCGTTCCTCCTGCTTACAGTTTAGATTTGCATTGGCACCAATCTGTTACACCATCAGCCAGATGTTACTCTGCAAATAACACTGTCACAACTAAGAAGCAGGCGGCACAAAAAGTCCAAAAGTAATAGTAGCAGCATCCAGAGATGATCAAGTTGATGTACTGCATATTTTAGGATCGATCCGGGTACCAGGTACATACAGCATCATCTGCATCACTGCTTGGAAAGGGCACTTCAACCTGAGCACAAGCAAGAAATTTGAAAATACGATGAAGGGTTGCGGAGAAATTGAGCATTTTGAAATTCTGGTCAGTAAAGCACCTTCAAATTAGAGTAAAACTATACTGTAACGATCTTATTTTTTCTCATCCTTTCTCTAACTCACACATTAATGTACTTGGCAATGCTGGATTTATCCATCCATCCATTTTCTGGTCCGCTTTATCCTCACGAGGGTCGCGGGGCATGCTGGACCCAATCCCAGCTGTCTTTGGGCAGTAGGTGGGGGATACCCTGAACTGGTGGCCAGTCAATCGCAGGGCACACAGAGATGAACAACCACCCATGCTCACACTCACACCTAAGGACAATTTAGAGTGTTCCATTAACCTGCCATGCATGTTTCTGGAATGTGGGAGAAAAATGGAGTACCCGGAGAAAACCTACGCAGGCACGGGGAGAACTTGCAAACTCCACACAGGGAGGCCAGAGCCCACAACCTCTGCACTGTGAGGTTGCAATGCTGAATTTGATTTTTACACTATTTTCTTACAAAAATTCTTATTTAATATTCTGACCCCGCACCTCCCACCCCCCCAAACAACGTTTTTAAAAGGAATAGATTGTTTTTTTTTTCTTCCCCGAAAAGGAAAATAATGATCTAAGCTATTCAAATTTTAACATGCCATATGAACCCATAAGTTAATTTGAACATTTTACAGTATTTGCAAATATCAGCTCTGGTTGCCATGGTAAAATAGGACTTTGTAATACATGAATTTACTACCATTATTTCATTCGAAATCCATCAGGAACTATTGATGGATTTAGCAGAAACCCGTTATGCACCTGCTTATAAAGCAACGATGAAGTTTGGTGCTACACATTTCTACTTGATGGTATATTTGCCTTTAATTATAAGACACCCCCCTCAAAGCTCATCTAAGCTTGGCAACAATATCTTGAGAAATAGTCATTACAAATGATCGAAAATTCTTATTTGCATTCAGGAAAATACTTTGTATTGTGATGTGCCCTGCGACTGACTGGCGAACAGTTCAGGGTGTAGTCCGCCTTCTGCCTGAATTCAGCTGGGATAGGCTCCAGCCACTCCCTGTGACCTTGTTCAGGATAAACGGTGTTGAAAATGGATGGATGGACTTTGTAGTATGAAAAAGCCGTGAATATTTAAATCTGTTATCTAGAAGCACTAGTACGAAATAAAGGTTGGTTGTGGTAGCGTCCACAGAGGTTTTGCTCAGTTTCATCGGGTTCGTCCATCTCCATGCCAAAAGACGACATTCTTCAAATTATACATGAAGGCATTTTCCTCAGACAATGTGAGTAGTAAGAGTATGTCTACATTACTCAAAAAAAGCGAGGGCTATTTGGCGTTCAGGTGAAATTTATGGAAAAGGTAAAGTTCACACTACAGTGATAACATGAAAGTAGGACATTTAAGTAGAAGGATGCACTGGTGATTTCCTCTTCTCAAACAATTCATTGAAACAAAAGTTAACAACAATCGTGGTACACCACAACTAAAAATTTCAATGTCTCAATAACACGTCATGTGCCCTTTGAGCATCAATTCCAGCTTGACAACAACGTCTCATGCTATTCACCAAAATGTATTTGACAAAAATGCAAACAGGAATACACTGGAGAAACTAACTCAAAAACTCACTCAAATAAAGTCCAGCAAAATCACAGGAAATCAAAGTAGCAAAAAACCTAAGACAGAAAACAAAACATGACACGTGCACAGAGACACACAATGATCCGACACCGACTGGTCGGGCATGGAGTCCTTTGAACCACACACTAACTAATAAAACAATGACCAACAGGTGTGCCACTGCATGAAGAACCCTACAGTGCCACCTGTTGGTCACAAACAGAACCACTCCAAAATTCCAGAATCGCAACGTGCCTGTACCCCAAAGTTTCCCAGGCTGCGAGGGCTTTCATAGCTATGAAAGGCTTCGACCCAAAATGAGACTGACAGTGTTCTATTGTTTTGGGCGTCTACTGTATATTCGTTAGTATTATTCATTTGTGCTTTAGCTTTATACTGGTTTGATACCATCATAGGGAAATTTACATGCATTATGGGTACTGTGATCTATAATTGTATGAAGCTTCATCAAACATTTATTCAAGCAGTTTTCAAGCTTTTGGCATTTCATCGGTTTGAGCTGGCACATATTTCTCACTCAGCCAATATAGTCGTAATAGTATTTTTAAATGCTCTAACTTGTCACTAGGTATGAACAGGAGCATGAATGTGCCCTGCGATTGGCTGGCAACCAGTTCAGGGTGTCCCCCGCCTACTGCCTGAAGACAGCTGGGATATGCTCCAGCACGCCTGTGAGGATAAGCGGAGAGGATAATGGATGGATATTTGTAATTTGCAGCTGGCGCTTTAATGCATCATTTTGTTTTTCAGGTCCTGCTATCCCTGTGGGGGTCGATGTTCAGGTGGAGAGCTTGGACAGCATCTCAGAAGTTGACATGGTAAGGTCACCTCTGTGTATTTGGGGAATTGTATTCGATTTTCATTGGTGCAAATGTATTTTACTCAAAATAATAAAGACAAAGTTAAAGAATCCAGGTATAATATTTAATCATTTGTTTCGCAAATATGTAATTACAGTAGTAGAGAACGAATATAGAATAGAAATAAAGATGATTTTTTTTTTTTTTTAAACATTGAAATCCCCCGATTTATTGTGGTTAATGCTTCACACTCCCACTCTATTGCAGTTTCTCTATTTTTGTTTTTATACTGTTTGGACAGTATTTTTGTGTTGGCCATTGCTCTTGTTCTCTCTCAACATATAACATGTTTAAATGTGTTTGTATTACTTTAAAAGTGTGTATGGAGCAAAACTGACACCCATCTCATCAGCTTTATCATATCACCAATATTTGGCTATTTATGAAACTTTTGTGACAGCTGTAATGTCTCCATTCATTGAACCGAGAAATCAATTCGGACCCTAGACACAACAACCTGCAGTGTTTGCAACAGATCTATTTATCAACCACCACAAATGAGTTTTGGGCTCAACTCATATATTTTGTCACTACCTGTCAATGTGTAAAGTGCACTTTAACTTTCTTTTGCTGCACGGAGATTGTCCAGCTGCACTCTTTGTTGATAAATGTGCCGCGGATAAACATGGACATTTGCAACACTCTGTGAGGCGAAATTGCAATGTTGAGGCGAGTGTCTCAGCTTTCAGGCGGGAGATAGAAACGTGCAACTTGAAGATATGGCAGAATTGGCTACAATTACATTGAGCTCTGTGGTATATGCATATCCTCACAGAAACTGATGTATGATGTTGCAGTGTCTGTATAGTCATCCAGTGTGCCCACTGACGTTTCAAAGACACCCCAGTCGGTGCAGTCCAAGCATTCTTGCCGTGCTAGCTTGGCTTCATCGGTCCATCTCTTCAAAGTCTTGACAACCGGTTTTACACATTTGAATCTGTTCCTGTATGTCGGAATGATGTGCCATAAACATCAACGTCAGAAAAACCCAGTGCTGCGCAGGCAACAGATCAATATGTGTCTTTAAGTGTTGTGTAGAATGGTCTAGAACAGCAGTCCCCAACCTTTTTTGCCCCACGGACCAGTTTAATGATAGACAGTGTCTTAACTCTTTCATTCCACAAGACTACTTGTACGTCTTTTTAAAATTAGGCCCCGCCTACCAAGGACGTACTTATACGTCTAAGTCTTTTTTTTTTTTTTTGCGTCATAGAGAGGAGGAGGGTCTGATGCAATCTGTGAATGAGGATAAGCCGTTTGCATTGTAAATCTTGTAAAAAAAAAAAAAAAAAACTAAGACAGGAGAAAGCACAAAACAGTAAAACTAAGATCAAGTCTGAGCCAGGCCGAGTCAA